GAGCCGGAGGATCCGCGTTAGCAGAAGCAGCAGGTTGCTTTTGCCTGCGGCAGGGCTGGTTGTCAGGCTGCAGGAAGCCCTGAGCAGCGCAGTGAAAACGAAAGTCTTCTGCAGTTTATGAGCGTCCCAGGCCTGGGAGAGCAGCGTGAGACGTGGGGGCGAGGGCCGGGGAGAGGGTGCGGGGACTCGGTGTCCCGGGCGGGCTCTGTTAAGTCCCCGTTTCTCCTCTGCCGCCCTGGGTGGGTCTTGCTGAGCGGGAGCTGTTGCTGAGACGGGTGCCGGGGAGCAGGGGCAGGTCGAGCGCGCCCGGGGGGGCACGTCGGCCGCGTGGCAAAGAGCTCGGTTCTCCTGCGCCGCTTTCTGTGAGTTGTTTCTTGCTGCGAAACTGGATGGAAAACCAGAAATGCAGGCGTTGGGGGCGGGAGGAAGGCGTTGACCACTAAAACGTCAAGCTCATGTCGGTGTTTCCGTGCTCGCGCTGTACAAACGCCCAGTGGAAGGTGTGCGAGAGGCCTTGAACCTCTCTTGATGCCCGCAGGATGGGCATCCCCATCTCCGTCCCACCTGCTGCCCCCTTATTTTGGCGACGTTTCCAGACCCAGGCCCTCGTCGCCGCCGCTCTCGTGGCTCCGCCGGGGGGTTTCCCTGTCGACCGGGGCTGTGTTTCGCTGTCGAAGCTGGCTGGGCCGCGGAGGTCTTGAGCCCATCGGGAGCGTTGGGGCTGCTCATCCCAAGCAAGACGAGGCTCTTCCTAGGATGGCTCTTGCCCCGCTCTCCTGGAGAGGTTAGCGTAACAGCCGGCCTCGCTTTGCAGCGCCCTCAAATCTGTCCATCCTGGAAGAGTGGGTTTTGCTGTGCTCGCAGGTTGGCGTGGCTTTGGCAGCGGGTGTCCAGCGCTCGTTGCTGTCCCCTCGATTTCTGTCGCTAGACCCGTCCCCTTCGTCCCTCTGCTGCGGTGAGCGTGGGGCCGCGGGGGCCCGGGTGGCCTCTTCAGGGTCGTGTCGAAGGGCGATAGGGCGGACGCTGAACTTGTGCTCGGAGAGGAAAAGGGGTGCTGGGGCGCATGAAGCTAAAGCTCCTCTCAAGCTCTGTGGGAATCCTCTGCCCCGTTTTCGGGAGCGTGCAGGTTATCTTCACTGATCCTGACGCGTCCGGTCGCCCGCTGAGTTCTGCACCTCTGAATTTAGTGCTTTCCCTATTTCAACCTGTAAATGAGTTCCAATCCCTATACGAAGTTGCCAACTCAGCTTGTTTCGGCTTGTCCCAGGAGTTGGCTTCCCCCAGCCTGCCTCCGCCAGGTCGGCCTTGCCCTCTGCAGCGCTCCCGCGCTGGTGCCTTCCCTTGGTGCAGTAGGACTTAGATCCATTTCTCTGGATCCCATCCTCAAATTTTACCGCTGACAGCCTGAGCAAACTCTTGCCAGGCTTCAGAAGCCGAACTGCGGAAATCACCTGGCAGGGAACTTCTCCTTGCCCGTGCGCCATTGCAGTAACTCAGTCTCTTGCTTCCCAGCTTCCCGGAAAAGCTAGCTTGCTGTTAGAAACGTGGTTAAAAACCCATCTCTGTTCTAAATGCATGTAATTTCAACTGTTGGAAGAGCACAGATGGGTGCAAAAAATGTTGTCGTCTTTATTGATGGCTTTCCATTTCCTTGGCCAGCCTCCATGGAGATGGCACAATTTAGGGAAGAAAAATACGACAGACAGGAAAACATTTGTATACCGTTATTGGGAACGGCAAAAAAGGTGTTAGACTGCGGAGACAGCTCTGACAGAAGATGAGCTGTCTGAGAAATTCAGTCCAGGGCATAGTCTATGGGTTCATCCTGTGCGACCCGATTTATTGCCCAGCCAAGTCCCTGGAGAGGTCTCCAGAGGCCTCCACGGACTTTGGATTAAACTTCATGTTTTCTGAAAGCTTTTGGTTCCAGAGCACCACATTCCCAGACAGTTCACATCAGCTGGATCTTAAATGAGACTAGGGTAAAGCGCAAGTGTTGCAGAGCTCCAGTTTTCCGCAGAATTATAGGGATATACTTTTGGAGTAACCCAAAGATGTATCCAATCCTCCAGCCACATCTCGTCTTTCCGTTCCTCTGCAGTAATCTGTATAATTACATTAAGGGACACTGATCTGACACAAATCATGCCATTAACAAGGAGCACATCAGAAGGCAAATATTTCAACCTGCCAGCTCAGCTGGAAACGCAATATGATAAATAGAGATGTAGAGGAAATTGATTTTATTTTCTGTGGAGAACTTTTTTTTTTTCCTCTGAGTGATTGTCCAGATGTACCTTCACGCCATGTCTTTGCCCATACTAGCACACAGCCCAATAAATATTTTATTCCACGTTATTGCATTACTGGAGTAGCCCCTGGAAGAGGTCACACAATCCCTGCTTCCTCTCTCCCCGCTCTGTGCTCAGCCAGACAGCGCCGGCTCTGCGCCCCTTCCTCGCAGTTTCTAGGTGTAGGCAGCACGTTTTAAATAAGAACGGTTATGGATGAGTGATTTTTTTCTTACCCGACTTCTCAATTTGTTATAGACTATTTCAAATTTTTGCTAAATTTTAGGAGGCAGTTCAAGACCTTGAAATTATTTTATAATAGCAAGACTACCACTGGAATGTCTCTTCGATAAAAAGACTATTTTTATTTTCCCCCCAAAATCCCCACTGACAGCAATTAACCTCTCTTCCGCTGTACCATCCTATTACACCTGAGTTGATGGTAGCAACACAGTGGTACGTTTGCTGCTTTTGCTTTGATCACTTTTCATCTGCCTTAACAAAGTTAACAATTTCAAAATAGCTGTAGATCATAAAAAGCGAAATATAAAGGGAGTTGTCATGCTCTTTTTACCTCCATCTTGGGTATTAAAACCCTGTTATGTAAAATGAAGACTAAGAGAAGTGCATCCTTGGCATTAACAGAAAATCAATGAAAATCATTTTATTTTGCAAAAGAACACTAAAAAGCAATATTTACTCCCCAGGCAGCTTGCAGAAGCCAGTAAGATCTAGAAAGTCCAGGCGGCTTCTTTATAAACGGGCTCCAAGTTCTGCCTTTGTAGCTCAGCTTAGCGAAAACCTGTGCGAATAACATACGTTGTAAAGGAGAAAGAAAATTGTGTATATAGATTTTTGAGGACCACTTTGGGGGACAGTAGTTGCCTGGGAAGTTCAAGCGCTGGGTTTTGTTTGCTCTAAGCAAGCTGGGCCGCTTCCCGGGGCTGAGCTCCTCCGCGGCTCTGCCGCCGGGGTGGGCGCCTGCCGCAGCAGGACAAGCAGCTGCAGGACCGCGGAGCACCGC